ATCATTTTTTATAGCTATGTTTCGCGTCGTCCGCACGCATACGTTTTGATTTTTTACGGAAAAAAATTAAAAATCGAACATGCACGATCGTGCGAGTCATCAGTGTGGACAGGTTGCATACGGCGAAGCTGGGATTCAGAAATGGCCTCTAGCCTAGACCAGCGTTGGTAACTCGTTCATCTGGGAGCAATATTCTATGAGCTTACACCAGACTGCATTGATCGCCTAAGCTGAGAGGATGCGTCGTTCCGGAGCTCTTTGCACCGCTGCTGAAGTCTGAGTACAATATTCCAGCGAAGCATAGGCACCATGACCAACGGTTGCCTCCTCTGTCCAAAGTGAATATTTAGTATTTATTTTACTCATGCTGATAACCCAGATGTTGTGCTTCGATGTACGATTTTTCTTTCGAATGTACACCATGCACGAGCTATTGTGCTACAGTGCATACACCTCTGATGAGCCTTTTTTTTATTATTTTGCAACTTTTTATTTTTTTCCACTTCTCGCATATGATTCTGGAAGTTGAACTGACGCGAAACATAGATATAAAAAATGATGGCCTAATAGGGGTTGCACTCTGCGATGGCCGCGTATGCAGCGAGAGTATATGTTTCAAATCTTTATTCTCACGATAGCCAGTGGCCAATAAGAGATAATAGTGTAAGAAAGGAGAAAGAGTGAGGAAGAATTGGGTGGGCATAGCCTAGGGGGTTAATGACTACTTAAGTGTACGGGCAGGGGTGGTCGCTACACGAGCATACAGAGTTGTGTACTCAAGTGTACAGGCAAGGGTGGTCGACACACGAGCATACAGAGTTGTGCAACAGCAGGGATATCTGGGATTTGAAGAGAGTACGAGAAGGGATTTCGCGAAGCTGGGTGGGCAAGCAATTAAAGTAATGAAGGGTCTTGTACAGGGGAGAATGGAGACAGCGGTCAGTCCGCGGAGTTGGCAAGTGCCAAGTACGAGAGCGACGTAAATTATACGAAGGTTGCACGTTGCTAGCAGTATGCATCGAGAGTATATGTGGTGGGGCATAATTGTGGCGCAGAGAATGCGCTGTTGTTGTCATTGTTGTTTTTTGAATTCTTTATTCTCACGATGGCACCATCGCCAAAAAAGAGATAAGTTAATGAGAAGGTCAGATGCTGTGGGTGGGGCTGCGGGTTTTGCAGTTGGAAAGAAATTAACATCGCTTTGAATTTTACAAATATGGGAGAGGGTGAACACTGCATGAGCAGATTGAGTTAATCAGCAGTGAGTAAATTTCTTGTTTGAAAGCAGGTCGGGAGGGAACGTCTTTTGTTGTGTTGTTGTTGTTGTATGGTACATAGTGATATAAGTGGACAATCGCTGACTTTGGACCACCGTCTGTGTGAGCTAGAAGGACTCAGCAGTACTGTGACAATCCTAGCCGCCCAAGCCGTCCTGACCTACATCCACACCCGTAAGTTGTCCTATGTGTGGCCTATGTGTGCTGCTTGACGAATGTCAATGGGGCGTATGTACGTGACCAAGAGTATGCAACCCCAAGAGTGTGCAACTGTCTGCACAACCTCTATGCAGTGCTGCGACGACGGCTGAACTTCACATCACGTAACATGGATCAAACAGCTACACTGGCAAACAGTGCAAAGTGGCCACAAGAGAGTCGGATCCAAAGCAGGATTGCATACAACCCGGTATCTATGATGCAGATGGTGCACAAAATTGTGCATGGGTTGGGCCCGTGATGTGAAGTTCTGTCGTCTCAGACCCCATAGCTGGAGTTGCACACTCTTGGGGGTTACGTGCTCGGGAAAATACTCCCGCCATTTGATCTTAAGGGGCAAGTCCACTAAACCGGTACCCACTGTGATACCAATCTTGCATTTTGATACAGGATTGGTATCATAGTGTGTACATTAACTGTGTACCATCATACCCACAAATGAACTACAACTGGCTGTACCTGCCAAATGTGGAAGACATTGCCCCTCACAAAGGTGCATATAATGCATAAGCCTGATAATACAGCATGCGTCCTCTGGGCAGCGGCCATGCATCAGGGGACGGAGAGGTTGGGGAGGTGGAAGGAGGCGGCGGTGGGGCAGATAGCTGCGGCGGTGGTCCGTGGCCCGGGTGCTGATGCATCTGCGCCGTGAGGGTACTGCACACCACACAGAACACAGGGGAAGAAACACAGCAACCAACAAACAAACCAAAGACAGCAATTTACCGGTTGGACTCTACAGAGGACGAACACTCTGCCGGAGACAGCGAGGATGAACGCTCGGCTGAAGGTGACAACGGGCGCTGAAGAGGAATAGTTACATGCGACAACGGGCACTGCAACAACGAGGATGAACACTTGGCTGAGTGAAGAGGAATACTAAAAGTAGGTAGAGCACGAGACTCTTAATCTTAGGGTCGTGGGTTCGAGCCCCATGTAGGGCGCCAATGTAGTAAATGTATGTGTAGGTGGTGGCCACGATGGGTACGGAACTTCTACTATACTAGTATTATTACTACTACTACTACTACTACTACTACTACTACTACTACTACTACTACTACTACTACTACTACTACTACTACTACTACTACTACTACTACTACTACTACTACTACTACTACTACTACTACTACTACTACTACTACTACTACTACTACTACTACTACTACTACTACTACTACTACTACTACTACTACTACTACTACTACTACTACTACTACTACTACTACTACTACTACTACTACTACTACTACTACTACTGCTACTGCTACTGCTACTGCTACTGCTACTGCTACTGCTACTGCTACTGCTACTGCTACTGCTACTGCTACTGCTACTGCTACTGCTACTGCTACTGCTACTGCTACTGCTACTGCTACTGCTACTGCTACTGCTACTGCTACTGCTACTACTGCTACTGCTACTGCTACTGCTACTGCTACTGCTACTGCTACTGCTACTGCTACTGCTACTGCTACTGCTACTGTCTACTGCTACTGCTACTGCTACTGCTACTGCTACTGCTACTGCTACTGCTACTGCTACTGCTACTGCTACTGCTACTGCTACTGCTACTGCTACTGCTACTGCTACTGCTACTGCTACTGCTACTGCTACTGCTACTGCTACTGCTACTGCTACTGCTACTGCTACTGCTACTGCTACTGCTACTGCTACTGCTACTGCTACTGCTACTGCTACTGCTACTGCTACTGCTACTGCTACTGCTACTGCTACTGCTACTGCTACTGCTACTGCTACTGCTACTGCTACTGCTACTGCTACTGCTACTGCTACTGCTACTGCTACTGCTACTGCTACTGCTACTGCTACTGCTACTGCTACTGCTACTGCTACTGCTACTGCTACTGCTACTGCTACTGCTACTGCTACTGCTACTGCTACTGCTACTGCTACTGCTACTGCTACTGCTACTGCTACTGCTACTGCTACTGCTACTGCTACTGCTACTGCTACTGCTACTGCCACTGCCACTGCCACTGCCACTGCCACTGCCACTGCCACTGCTACTGCTACTGCTACTCCTACTCCTACTACTACTACTACTACTACTACTACTACTACTACTACTACTACTACTACTACTACTACTACTACTACTACTACTACTACTACTACTACTACTACTACTACTACTACTACTACTACTACTACTACTACTACTACTACTACTACTACTACTACTACTACTACTACTACTACTACTACTACTACTACTACTACTACTACTACTACTACTACTACTACTACTACTACTACTACTACTACTACTACTACTACTACTACTACTACTACTACTACTACTACTACTACTACTACTACTACTACTACTACTACTACTACTACTACTACTACTACTACTACTACTACTACTACTACTACTACTACTACTACTACTACTACTACTACTACTACTACTACTACTACTACTACTACTACTACTACTACTACTACTACTACTACTACTACTACTACTACTACTACTACTACTACTACTACTACTACTACTACTACTACTACTACTACTACTACTACTACTACTACTACTACTACTACTACTACTACTACTACTACTACTACTACTACTACTACTACTACTACTACTACTACTACTACTACTACTACTACTACTACTACTACTACTACTACTACTACTACTACTACTACTACTACTACTACTACTACTACTACTACTACTACTACTACTACTACTACTACTACTACTACTACTACTACTACTACTACTACTACTACTACTACTACTACTACTACTACTACTACTACTACTACTACTACTACTACTACTACTACTACTACTACTACTACTACTACTACTACTACTACTACTACTACTACTACTACTACTACTACTACTACTACTACTACTACTACTACTACTACTACTACTACTACTACTACTACTACTACTACTACTACTACTACTACTACTACTACTACTACTACTACTACTACTACTACTACTACTACTACTACTACTACTACTACTACTACTACTACTACTACTACTACTACTACTACTACTACTACTACTACTACTACTACTACTACTACTACTACTACTACTACTACTACTACTACTACTACTACTACTACTACTACTACTACTACTACTACTACTACTACTACTACTACTACTACTACTACTACTACTACTACTACTACTACTACTACTACTACTACTACTACTACTACTACTACTACTACTACTACTACTACTACTACTACTACTACTACTACTACTACTACTACTACTACTACTACTACTACTACTACTACTACTACTACTACTACTACTACTACTACTACTACTACTACTACTACTACTACTACTACTACTACTACTACTACTACTACTACTACTACTACTACTACTACTACTACTACTACTACTACTACTACTACTACTACTACTACTACTACTACTACTACTACTACTACTACTACTACTACTACTACTACTACTACTACTACTACTACTACTACTACTACTACTACTACTACTACTACTACTACTACTACTACTACTACTACTACTACTACTACTACTACTACTACTACTACTACTACTACTACTACTACTACTACTACTACTACTACTACTACTACTACTACTACTACTACTACTACTACTACTACTACTACTACTACTACTACTACTACTACTACTACTACTACTACTACTACTACTACTACTACTACTACTACTACTACTACTACTACTACTACTACTACTACTACTACTACTACTACTACTACTACTACTACTACTACTACTACTACTACTACTACTACTACTACTACTACTACTACTACTACTACTACTACTACTACTACTACTACTACTACTACTACTACTACTACTACTACTACTACTACTACTACTACTACTACTACTACTACTACTACTACTACTACTACTACTACTACTACTACTACTACTACTACTACTACTACTACTACTACTACTACTACTACTACTACTACTACTACTACTACTACTACTACTACTACTACTACTACTACTACTACTACTACTACTACTACTACTACTACTACTACTACTACTACTACTACTACTACTACTACTACTACTACTACTACTACTACTACTACTACTACTACTACTACTACTACTACTACTACTACTACTACTACTACTACTACTACTACTACTACTACTACTACTACTACTACTACTACTACTACTACTACTACTACTACTACTACTACTACTACTACTACTACTACTACTACTACTACTACTACTACTACTACTACTACTACTACTACTACTACTACTACTACTACTACTACTACTACTACTACTACTACTACTACTACTACTACTACTACTACTACTACTACTACTACTACTACTACTACTACTACTACTACTACTACTACTACTACTACTACTACTACTACTACTACTACTACTACTACTACTACTACTACTACTACTACTACTACTACTACTACTACTACTACTACTACTACTACTACTACTACTACTACTACTACTACTACTACTACTACTACTACTACTACTACTACTACTACTACTACTACTACTACTACTACTACTACTACTACTACTACTACTACTACTACTACTACTACTACTACTACTACTACTACTACTACTACTACTTGACACAATCTTTATTAGGAAACTTGAAATGGAGATGTGAAACACAAATACAGCCATGTAGATGGAGCAGCAATGCAATACAATGTCCAAAAACTCAAGAATTCATTATCATGGGGCAATGTTGGGCAAATGTCTGTCAGGTACTATCACGCTCAGGCTGCCCGCAACTACTACTACTACTACTACTACTACTACTACTACTACTACTACTACTACTACTACTACTACTACTACTACTACTACTACTACTACTACTACTACTACTACTACTACTACTACTACTACTACTACTACTACTACTACTACTACTACTACTACTACTACTACTACTACTACTACTACTACTACTACTACTACTACTACTACTACTACTACTACTACTACTACTACTACTACTACTACTACTACTACTACTACTACTACTACTACTACTACTACTACTACTACTACTACTACTACTACTACTACTACTACTACTGCTACTGCTACTGCTACTGCTACTGCTACTGCTACTGCTACTGCTACTGCTACTGCTACTGCTACTGCTACTACTACTACTACTACTACTACTACTACTACTACTACTACTACTACTACTACTACTACTACTACTACTACTACTACTACTACTACTACTACTACTACTACTACTACTACTACTACTACTACTACTACTACTACTACTACTACTACTACTACTACTACTACTACTACTACTACTACTACTACTACTACTACTACTACTACTACTACTACTACTACTACTACTACTACTACTACTACTACTACTACTACTACTACTACTACTACTACTACTACTACTACTACTACTACTACTACTACTACTACTACTACTACTACTACTACTACTACTACTACTACTACTACTACTACTACTACTACTACTACTACTACTACTACTACTACTACTACTACTACTACTACTACTACTACTACTACTACTACTACTACTACTACTACTACTACTACTACTACTACTACTACTACTACTACTACTACTACTACTACTACTACTACTACTACTACTACTACTACTACTACTACTACTACTACTACTACTACTACTACTACTACTACTACTACTACTACTACTACTACTTGACACAATCTTTATTAGGAAACTTGAAATGGAGATGTGAAACACAAATACAGCCATGTAGATGGAGCAGCAATGCAATACAATGTCCAAAAACTCAAGAATTCATTATCATGGGGCAATGTTGGGCAAATGTCTGTCAGGTACTATCACGCTCAGGCTGCCCGCAACTACTACTACTACTACTACTACTACTACTACTACTACTACTACTACTACTACTACTACTACTACTACTACTACTACTACTACTACTACTACTACTACTACTACTACTACTACTACTACTACTACTACTACTACTACTACTACTACTACTACTACTACTACTACTACTACTACTACTACTACTACTACTACTACTACTACTACTACTACTACTACTACTACTACTACTACTACTACTACTACTACTACTACTACTACTACTACTACTACTACTACTACTACTACTACTACTACTACTACTACTACTACTACTACTACTACTACTACTACTACTGCTACTGCTACTGCTACTGCTACTGCTACTGCTACTACTACTACTACTACTACTACTACTACTACTACTACTACTACTACTACTACTACTACTACTACTACTACTACTACTACTACTACTACTACTACTACTACTACTACTACTACTACTACTACTACTACTACTACTACTACTACTACTACTACTACTACTACTACTACTACTACTACTACTACTACTACTACTACTACTACTACTACTACTACTACTACTACTACTACTACTACTACTACTACTACTACTACTACTACTACTACTACTACTACTACTACTACTACTACTACTACTACTACTACTACTACTACTACTACTACTACTACTACTACTACTACTACTACTACTACTACTACTACTACTACTACTACTACTACTACTACTACTACTACTACTACTACTACTACTACTACTACTACTACTACTACTACTACTACTACTACTACTACTACTACTACTACTACTACTACTACTACTACTACTACTACTACTACTACTACTACTACTACTACTACTACTACTACTACTACTACTACTACTACTACTACTACTACTACTACTACTACTACTACTACTACTACTACTACTACTACTACTACTACTACTACTACTACTACTACTACTACTACTACTACTACTACTACTACTACTACTACTACTACTACTACTACTACTACTACTACTACTACTACTACTACTACTACTACTACTACTACTACTACTACTACTACTACTACTACTACTACTACTACTACTACTACTACTACTACTACTACTACTACTACTACTACTACTACTACTACTACTACTACTACTACTACTACTACTACTACTACTACTACTACTACTACTACTACTACTACTACTACTACTACTACTACTACTACTACTACTACTACTACTACTACTACTACTACTACTACTACTACTACTACTACTACTACTACTACTACTACTACTACTACTACTACTACTACTACTACTACTACTACTACTACTACTACTACTACTACTACTACTACTACTACTACTACTACTACTACTACTACTACTACTACTACTACGTCTACTACTACTACTACGTCTACTACTACTACTACGTCTACTACTACTACTACGTCTACTACTACTACTACGTCTACTACTACTACTACGTCTACTACTACTACTACGTCTACTACTACTACTACGTCTACTACTACTTCTACGTCTACTACTACTTCTACGTCTACTACTACTAATACTACTACTATTCACATACACAGCTCAATCGGTTTATGATTGTTTATAGTTATAATAATCAAAGGCTCACAACAAGACGAGAACAAGACTAGAACTGAGAGAAGGTGACTGGACTCACAAGGACCAGGCAGAAGTAACAAGAGATCAAGACCACGGCTGGGCAAGTGCAGCCTTGGGTTATGGCTGTGTTTACATGCGGCGTTTCACGCCGCCATGTAAACAAAATGAATGGCGCGTTTACATGACGCATTGCGCTTGACCCGGGTTGAAATTTCGCTCCGGGTTGATTTCAACCCGGGGCGAGAAATCGTACTAACGTACTTTTGTGCGTATCTCGTGCCAGGTTTGAACAGCACTGCATATGCAAATTTCATGCGAAAGGATTCACGGGACCATACAGGACTGTAGAAGTGGACTTTAGGCGGCATATCATTATTTGACCCGGGTCAACTGTCTTCATGTAAACGCTCACCTATTTTGTCTATCATACAGACTTTCAACCCGGGCTGAACTCGACCCGGGTTGAAATGTCTCATGTAAACACAGCCTATATCTAAACATTTGGAGGGAAAAAAGGTACATGCAGTTTAATAGGGCCATCCGTAAATACTAAAATACCAATATTTGTTTAGAAACGAAAACTAGTCATTTCTCTTCAACCCCCCTCCCGGCTCTCTCCGAGAAACAAACACATGCAAACACCACACAGTATCGACATATTTTCTTTTTTTCTCGACGTGCCCGAACATACAAACCGTGCATCGATAATTTTCGAGAAACGGACAGGCGCTCAACCTCCTCCCCCCTAAACGACTAGTTTTCAGTTCTAAATATGTATCGGCATTTACGGATGGCCCCTAAGGGAGGCAAAAGGTCAGAGGGGAGTGCATGAATGGGTGTGTGTACAGGGGGGGGGGGGGTGCAGATGTGTTATGTGTACGGGAGAGTGTGCATACAGGAATGTGTATGTGGGCCCGGGCCGGGCTAAAAGGGCTCGTACAACATTCAGCATGGCATCACCATGACTACGCCATGACCGTACCGTGACCGTAAGGTGTACACGTATGCATGTTGTGTGTTTGTATGCAGAGCTCAGTACAAGCTATTGCCAGAGTTCATGTGCAAACATCCCAGCCTCGGAGAACCCCTGTCCCATAAGGACGGAGTACTGCGTCGGTCTAATATTAAACTATCATTGCTTTGGTAAGCAGGTCAGGAATACACGTATTGTGCACCTACTATATACAGTCAAACCTCAGTTAACCACATACATCCGTTTCCACAGAATAGGCGAGGGAGTCGAATAATCTAACGCACATCCCGTATGTATGCATGGCATATGCTGTAGATTGGTAACCAACGATTTTCTTCCGGGTGGCGAGGGATCCGGATAAAAGAGGACCGGATAAGCGAGGCCTGACTATACCCTCGTTTCACGTGGAAACCGACTGCAGTGGCTGTGTGGACTTGCTTGCTGCTGCATTGCACTCGCGGCAGGCCTTTGCAACCGGCGATCCTGCAGGCGCGTAGCACCGGCATTGGAGGTGGTCCGGCCGGAGGGTGTTCCGGGGGTGTCGCAGGGGAACCTTTTTGAAATTAGTATGAAAAATCCTGCGTTCTGGGCACTTTTGGCATTGTGTTAAAAAGATGGTGCGGCGGAAGCCAGACCGGCCAGACCGGCTGCTACGCCCCTGTCCTGAGGCAGCCTGAGTACCACCACTAACATGTACTACATACGACTGTCTAAGGCTGTCATCACACCATGGTACAAAGCGCTGCGTCTACGTCCACGTAAGGAGTTTTTGGTCGGTTGTCATGATGATCCGTATACGGGGTGGAAACGGGAGCAGAGGAAACGGGAGAAGTGGACGTGGTATGGAGAGGGGGGGTATACGACTTTTTGTATGAATGTTCGTATCTCCCCCAGCCTTTTTCCGAGCGACCCTGTAGCGATGTACGTGGGTTCCACAAAACCTGACTGCGTGTACGTGTCAAGAACTGTGCCTGTCTGATGACACGACCATCCGTTTTGGTTTTTTCACCATAGACGTAGACGTAAACGGGAGTCGGAGAACGTGGTGTGATGACAGCCTTAGTAGCTTGGTCCTAACAAGGTTTTTCGATTTTTTTATGAAAGTGTTTTTTAGAAACTTTTCGGTAGATGTGTTCATCCCCCCCCCCCCCCTTCCTCCCAAGCAGTAGTTTCTACTTCCCTCTCTACCCGCTCTACCAGGTTTGAGGTTGGTTGAAGTAAAATTGAAGTGCTATCACAATGTGTAGATCTGTGCTCGAAAACTACAATCTACCCTCTTCTCTTCAATCAGCGTCCACTCCAGTCTACTTTACTCCAGTCTACTTTACTCCAGTCTACTTTAGCAAGTAGGCAAAACCAACCACAGCCTACAGACCTCGTCTGCTGCTGTTGTTGCTGTAGCTGCTGTAGCTGCTGCTTCTGTAGCTGTAGCTGCTGCTGCTGTAGCTGCTGTAGCTGTAGCTGCTGCTACTGCTGCTCGACACAACGTTTTTATTACAGCAAATTGTGTGACCTCAGCGTGTTCAAATCTAATCAGGACTTGTTGTTACCATAGTGACTGCATTGGTGGTAACAAGGGTACATAACACCCCAGAGTGTGCAACGCCTGATCCAGCTCTGCACAGGGTCTTGGTCGAGCGGAATCGGATCTTTGCGTCATAATACCGTACACATCTGAGGGGAACCCGGGGAGTCGCGGGTACTCTCGGATCAAAAACAATGGTGCCCTGCCTCGAGACCGGCCTTGCGCTGGTGTGGAGTGTACGCATGACATCAGAAGATCCGATTCCGCTTGACCAAGACCCTATGCAGAGCTGGATCAGGAGTTGCACACTCTGAGGGTTTATGTACCCTTGTTACCACCAATACAAACGTCTGATGCCAGAGGCAGAGAGATTACTACTGTTGCTGATATTACTTGGAGGCGTGCTTTTATTGATCGCATAGCATGATGATACGAAGAAAGAAAAGGGCACCGGAAATATGATGCTGGATTTGAAAGAAGAATAAGAAAAAAGAGAAGCTGTTATTTCTGCTATTACTGCTGCTGCTACTGCTGTTGGTTGGCGGACTTGATGTTTCATATTCTATGTTTGCAATCTCGGCTTGCACCGTTTCCTTGTTTTGCTTCTAGACACGAGTTTCCAGTGCGGCGGAGCTCATTTCTCCATGCATGTGACCAGCGCAGCCACTGGAGTCACAGTAGCCCAGGCTAAGCAAGCCTGCGCGGCACAGAACATGGAGGTGTTTCAACACCAATACTGGAGTCAGTTTTTCCAGCAGACCTGTTTCAGTGTAAGTTAAGTCACATGGCAGCTACCCTAGCGACTGCTTTACTGTAAAGCGACAAACTTTCGCGGCGCGCAAATTTAGCTTTTTCA